AAACTCAACTGGAAGGGAGTTTTCAAACACCATAGTTTCAAACACCATAGTTAGAAGATAAATAGAAGATGGAAAAGAGGGACAAATTTTATTTCAAAATCAAATTGAAATCAAAGTATTTAGAGAAGCTGATAGAGATGGAAGATAAAGAAAACACAACATAAATAAATAGCAGACCCCACAGAAGAAAACCAAAGCAATGAATTAGAAAACAATACTAACTACTATAATTCGAGAAGACTTGAAAGTACACATTGAAACTTGAAACTACATAATGAAGAGGCATACCATATTCCTGAGAAACTGGAAGCACAATAGCCAATATCAAGATACAGTTGAATAAAATTAAAGGTCTTTAATAAGAAACAAAATATTCTTTGGACATCCAAGCAAAAAGGGAAAGAATGTCAGATTTTTACCAGACTTTTCCATGACAACATTCCATGCTAATAAGCAATGAAGTAACAAATTTAATATGCTCAAATGAGTAAATTGCAGATCCTGGATCTTGCATGGAATATGCATACATTTTACAGCATGCAACCTGACCCTCTAGTGAAAAGGTTGCCCAGGGTTTTCTGCTTTTGCACTTCCTTGCTATATCTCTACTATCCTTTCCTCTTGGCATCTGAGAATCTTTGCATTGGGTAGGTGCAGTTCTTTCACAGGTTCTAGAAATGGGCAACAATCTGCCATTGAAATTGTGAGACTTTAGGGTCTGCATAACAAAAGGAACCTTATCCTCACCCAAGGCAAAATTGATAACCACATACTGTTATGAATATGCCAGAACTCAGAGAATAATGTCCATATGCACCTTTTTAAAAGGATCTACTAGAGAATAAGCTTCAGACAACCAAACATACTGTAGAGATATTGACATAAGGACTGCAAAGTATTCTAGCCAATAAAAAAGGAAGGATGGCAAACTCAGAATATCAGCATTTTTCAAACGCTAATAAATGAGTGGATCTAGGAAATGATCATCAGTGGATGACATCATAAAAGAGAACATTAGTGCTACCTCAAGAAAGTACTCATCGCCTGCTAAAAATGATCAAATGTGAATCTGATCAAAATTCTAACACTAACTACACAATTGAAGAAAACACAAAAAACAAATATGTTAACCACACTACACAAGTAAAAATAATCAAGATCAAAACAATGAAAAATATGCAAGAAATAAAAAAGAAATGGAGGGGGGATTCATGGTATAAAAAAATCAAGATGCATATCAAATAATCACCATGTATAAGCCTTGTTTAATGGTACTTTAAACAAATTGTAAAAAAATATGATAAAGGAAAATTTGAACACTATTTGATAATATTAGCAAATTATGCTTATTTGTAAGTGTAATAATGGCATTGCATTTGTGTTTGTAAATTATTTTAATAAAATATTTACAGATAAATAATACGATAACGGATTTGCTTCAAAAGAATCTAGTGGCAGGAAGTAAGTGAGATAGAAATGAAAAAAAGGTTGGCAATATATTGATAATTATTTAATCTTGTTGAAGGGTATATTGGATTCAATACACAATATTTTCTCCTTTTGCATATGTTTGAGGTTTTCAATAATAATACGTTTTTTTAAAAGACACCAGGAGGATGTACAAGCACAAACATTCTAGTGTTTCAGATTTGCATCATGCCCTGGGAGATAGCCACCTCCTGAATACCACTTGAGCACGTACAGAAACTGACAAGACAGTATGTATGTAGATTTTCAAAGTAGCAAATCCCTCCTACATCTGCATTTCCAACACAGTTCACCTCACTCTTGACATTGCAATTCAGTGGAATGCCTTTAATGAGGATCAAAATTGCAATGACTTCTCAAAGTGAACATTTAGAATAATAGAACTCTTAAACAGCTAACTTTGGGCCTTAAATTATAAGTCATTAGGATAATTGTTTCTTTTGTGTGCTTGCATGGGGTAGCTTGCAGAAAAGAAAAACAACCCTGGTGTTTGAATGATAAATTATCACTCATCTTTTTCTTATTTTCCATGTTTTCTTTCTAGATACTTCCACACAATATACTTAGGTATTCGAAGCCGACAGAGTGGGGAGAATGACAGATGGAGGTTTTACTGGAAAATGGTGTATGAGTATGCAGATGTGAGTATGCTGCATTTGCTAGCCACCTTTCTGGAAAGTGCTCCACAGCTGGTCCTGCAGCTCTGCATTATCGTACAGACTCATAGCTTACAGGCCCTCCAAGGTAAGGGCTTGCAATTTGGTTTCTGACTTGGGGGAGAGACTGGCTACTTTTGTCACAATCCAAGAAACTGTTCTAATACCCTTTGTTGACACAGGCCATGGTGCTCCCTGTGATATGTCAGCTGATTGGCATGTGAATTTCTTCTTCACCATCATTTGCCAGGGCTAATTTATAGAAAAACAATTTTTCTTTTCTTTTTCTTTTTTTTTTTCTTTTTTTTGCTCTCAAGTGGCCTTCTGGGTAGGAAAAAAATCTTTTTGATTTTATACTTGGTCAATATGAGAATAGAGTCAACTGAGTTTTTCTTGTTTGTATGCTAGAGTCATTTCAAAAAATTTGAAATAGAGTCATAGTTCTCCCTCTCTCTCTCTCTAATATTATATATATATATATAT